TAGCGGGTTCCAGTGAATGTTCAACCAAGCCTCTTTCTTTACTCCTCACTGAAATATTAATAGTAGTGAAGGAGAAACTTCAAGAGTACTGTGCAACAATATATTCGATAAGTGGTGTTAATCAGATGTGGATTCTTAAAAATTTCAAGGAACTTTTGGAAAATTTGAAATCACAAGATTTTACCAAAATCAACAGCTTAAAAACTTACGACTTTTCAACTTTATACACAACCATTCCCCACGATAAATTAAAGTCCAGGCTTTTTGATATCATTGACAGCTGCTTTTTCAATAAACATGGAACTCGTAGATTTACTTACCTTGTCATTGGTCATTTGCAAAATTATTTTGTTAAAAAACATTCTGATTGTACACACAAGTACTCTGAAGTTGACATTTAAAAGATGCTTGAGTTTCTGATTGACAATATCTATGTGGTTTTTGGAGACCAGGTCTTCCAACAATCTATTGGAATTCCTATGAGTACCAAGTGCGCCCCGTTATTAGCAGACCTTTTTCGTAATCATACGAAGCATAATTTGTCCAAAATCTTGTACGTGAAAAGAAGAAAACACTTGCTGTGGCCTTCAACTCGACATTTAGATATACCGACGACGTATTGTCAATTAACAATGGCTATTTCCATTCTTATGTCGATACGATATATCCCGGTGAGCTTGAGATAAAAGATACCACAGAGTCTAGCACAATTGTTTCATATTTGGATATTTTGCTTGAAAAGACGTTAATGGTAATCCAACAACCAAGCTTTATGATAAACGTGATGACTTTAACTTTTCAATCGTCAACTTCCCTTACTTATGCAGCAATATACCTTCATCACCTGCATACGGGGTAAATATCTCTCAGTTGATTCGATACGCAAGAGCATGCTCTACGTATGTACAATTTCTAAAACGAGGTAAATTATTGGCAAACAAGTTGATGAAACAAGAATATCAGCTGTTTCGTTTAAAGTCATAATTTCGTAAGTTCTATAGTCGATACAATGACCTTGTCAGCAAATACAATTTATCATTGAGTCAAATGCTGACTGACGTTTTTCATACTAATTGTTAGGCCATTATTTACACACTGAATTGTCGACAGATTTTCCCGTTATTTCCCGATCATGACAAGGAGCACACGGCGGGTGTGACCGATAGACAGGGGATGCTCACTCCTCCATGGCACCTGATCCCACCTCTGATGGTTGGAGGTCCGTGTTTGCTCTGCTCCTATTTCGTATTGTTTAATGGACTTTTGAGCTTGAATATTGTTCGTTATCCATATAATTCATATTTGTAATTCAAGAAAAAAATTCTATAAAAACAAAGAAGGTTGGTGAACTATGAAAAATATTTAAAGAAATTAAGTTTACACAGCCGCTCTTTATAACCCGGAATTTTCAAATTCACTAATTATTTAATAATCCTTTCCTCTGCTTCTGATTACAAGAATTTATTGTTTACTATTTTACGAAATGATAGTTTTTTTTAAGTAAGGTGTATGGAAAGTACCAATATTAATTCTATAACTCTTGTATTATATAGATCAAATTTTTCCCATCGATTTATATTGATTATTTAAATGAAATAGTGAGAATTTCAACATCGGTATTTACATTAAAAGAGTCAAATATCTGCGTATGTCTTGGAAGTGTTCAATATAACAATCATTCCAATGACCCTATCAAGCGTTATGAATATAGGAATGTAGAATACTTCTTCAGTGAGTACCTTATTAAGAGAGAAACAAAACCTGGTACATCGCTCATGCTCAAGTCGTTTGTAAATTTTTCAACATTTTCAGCTTCTCCTCAGAAACCGTTAATTTAATTTTAACCAATATTGGTATAAGGGAACAAAAAATATAAACACCCATCCCCCGCTGGCGCCCGAGGGATGGGACATACATGTGCATGTAATCACTTAAAAATGATTCAATCTTCAAAAACCTTCTTTTGACCTCTCGAAATTAAGCAGTCAAATTATTGGCATGATTATAATAAGTATTGAGTTCCCTATAAATATTGTTGAATTCATGGCCCCTGGGTCAGGGGTTCTGGTACTTAAATTAAGTGCATCGTTATAATGAACAATGACGACTCTACCTAAATTTTGAAATTCATGGTCTGGAGTTTTAGTGTTTTATGACCCCAGGGTTAGGGGTTAGGGGTTTTGGTGTTAGGGTATGGGTTTATTGAATATGTAGTGAAAATGCACTACCTCGAGCTCTTTGAACCCTATTGATCACAAAATGAAAGTACATTAATTCTTTAAACAAATGGCCCAAGGGCCTAAACGGTCATCTGAGTGTAATACAAAACTATAAAGATCAATAAAAGTATAAGATAAAACGGAATAAACTAAAACCTGGACCTATATAGCTAAGTGAATAGCAAAGGGGAATGAACTTGGAAATTAATATAACCTGCCCGGCACCAGAATACTTGACCAAGTGGTCCAGAATCTCACAAATCTGATAAAAAAAAATACCCATGATTATTACAACGTCGTACTCTATTTGTCTCCTAGATGCACAAGAGCATAGCAGAAGAATTTCAAGGAAATAATACATTTTCACTACAGATTTAGCACAGCCTCACCCTTACACTGGAATCCCTGATCCAGGGAAGAATCACTTTGCTCATCATAACCATGCAATTAATAAATTGCTAAATACCCAGCTGCAGGGGCCGGGAAGAAGATTTTCAAATTAATAATGCATTTTCATCTAAACCTCTGGGGAAAAATACTTCGATTGGTTTTCTTTTTCGGACCAGCATCTCTCACTGAGATTGAAATTGGGGCTTTCTTTTTTTTTTTTTACAAAAATATTAGATGCCTCAAACTATGTGTTAGTATTTAAAAGTTCCGGAAAAAATTCTAACTAAAATACTTAAGTAAAATATAGTTTACTTAAGTATAACATGATAGTTTATTACAGTATAAAAGTTTTGTTGTTTTTTTTTTTTTTAAATCAAGCTATTTTTTCTATGAGTTTCAAATTGTAATATTTCATTTTCGACAATTTTTACATACAAATTTTTCATGTTTAAAAGGAAATATTACAGAAACTTGTATATTCACATATTGTTCCAAAAATTCACAATCATTGGAATAGAATTCAAGAGTTTACTCCAAATCTCATAAGACTTCTAGAGTAAAGTTTCACAGTAAATCAAAGTGATAAAGTATGAACTATATAAAACTATAATTAACCATAGTAAACTAAATCTAACCATAATAATTTTTTGCTTGGGGAGAAAAAGGATGTATTTTTGATGTTCTCCATTTTTCAGAAATTGGAAGGAGGATGTGAAACTTATCGTAGACGTTGCACCCCTTTGCACATGTGCTCAATTAACACATCTTCAGGACTCCCATACTGTGAAATATCAAGTAAGAAATATATGGTTCTACTCTCTCTCTCTCTCTCTCTCTCTCTCTCTCTCTCTATATATATATATATATATATATATATATACATACATGTATCAGAAGCAGGGATGAGGGATGGGGTAATCATAATCAGATGTAATTGATTACAGTTTGCAGTGTAATCATGAGTAATCAGTAATCATCCTGAAATAAAGTCTTGTAATCATGATTACATTTTGATTACTTTATGATTACAATGATTAAAATGAAAGGCATATCAACATGATCTTTGATGACATTCAATGATTATTTTTCAGTGTGCAAGTTAATTTATGAAGAAAAATTATTCTTAAAATTATAGGCTACATATAGCTAAATCTTTTTCTATTGTCTTCAGAAATATATATTATAGTCGAATCCATTGACCAGGCATTGAGTGAATCCTCTCATACTATCTATATTCATTGGTTATTTCAATATACTTTAGCAGCTTACATGTAGCAATTCACCTTGTGTAGCTATACATACTGAGGAAAATTACCAAAGGGTCATTTTAAAGATTGACTTTTTGTTTCAGTTAACCTGTATGCAACACATCATTTTGTTTCCTCTGTAAATCTTTAAATATACAGGTGATTTTTTTTTTTTTATCAAATACACCTTTGTAATTTTTGTTATAAATATTACAACTTTGTTTGATTTACAAAAAAAGTCAATTAATTAACAATAAAACACAAGTATATTTTAGTTGGGTCAACTTCGATATTAAGAATAGTAAAATAACAATGCTTGTCCAATCAAAGTGTTAATTCTAGTTAATTGAAAATTTCATCACTTATATCAAATGGTCATTTACATATATCATTTTTCCATTGAATCCCTCTAACTATAATTATGCCCAGTTTGATTGATGAATTCGTTATACTTGTATTTTACCTCAACAATAACAATAGCACGGATCGATACTAATTTGTATCTGAGGTAGAAATTAAATGATCATATAAACTACCCAAAGCATATATATATAAGGACATGTAATCAAATTTTGTATACTTTTAAAATGTAAATGATCAAATGCAGTTATAAAGTGTGTATATTGAGTATTGATTTTACAATATAACGTCCTGTAAAAAAATGTTTCTTTCCCAAACATTAACAAAGAAATTAAAAGAAATAAAAACGTTATAGTAATGTAATCTAGAGTAATAACAAGTAATCGTGATGACATGGCGGAAAAGTAATAAAATGTAATTGATTACTTTAAAAATTGGCTGTAATCAGGTTGGTATCAATTACTTTTAAAATAGCAATTGTTATTAAATCGAATAGTTTTGAAAGCAGTCGACCTTATCCCTGATCAGAAGTGTGAGTTTATGAAAGAATGCATATAGATAATAAGACAAAGGTTGAGCTTAATTAGCGAGTGTAATTGAACACAAGTATATTAAAGAAAATTTGAGAAATTTCTAATAAATATATTGACTTCTTCAAAGATTGTCTTCGTATATATCGAAAATACACAACTGTGACTCATTATGTGGATAGCAACATAGGCAGTACAGCAAAACTAAAATGTGGAGAGCAATTTCTTAATTTCGAAAGCAGAGGACTTGGATCTGCAGTTTGTAATTCATATGGCCTATGGGATATTCAGCTGCAATGTATAGGTGAGTAATTTTTTCCAGGTTTTTATGACCACAGCAAGCAGTTTGATGTTCTTAATTGTAAGTAAATACCAGACGAAAAGGTGATTCATGAGGGTACTCAGAATTCGATGATTTTTTTTTCATAAATGTTTCTCTTGCGCTTTGAACCATGCTGTAAAAATGAAAACAATGAAAATTTTAGGACATTACTAACATGGAAATCTGCCCCACAAAATTCCCTAGCAAACTGTCAAATTTCCATATTTAATATGGTTCATTGTGCAAAATAAATGTATTTGTGAAATTTCATCAGATTTGAGAACCCTCATAAATCAGTTGAATACATATTTGTCTGAATTTTATAGGTAACATTCTCTATCCAGAGTTGTCGTTCCTGCTACGCTCCCCAATACACCTCTACCAATTCTTGTTATACAATATTCTTGGGAAATTTGTAAATGATTAAAAGTTGATTAATAATCGTTTTATATTATATTTCTTATCGGAAAACAGGATTTATTCGAATCTTTACCCTTTGAAAGGATTTTTTTAATTAAGTTTTTAATTTTTTCTCCGTAAAATAGTTCTCTGAAAACTGAGAAAATAAATCGTTTTGAGGGATGATAGATTTCAAATAAATGATAAATTGTCGTCTTTATTGATAATTGCAATATCTAATTACTATTTTAATATCAAATTTTCACTGTTTAAAACTTGTACAAGAATCTTGTACAACGAGCATTGACAGAGGTGTTGGTAAAGTGTCAGAAGACAACTCTGGATAGAGAATGGGTACGTAACAGTACTATCCATGGGTATATCAGAAATAGAACAACAAAATGAAACGTACACGTGATGCAATAAAACTTATGAATGGTATATGGTTCAATTTGATGGTTGTCAATACATACTTCATGTTATCACTAAAATTATAGCATCTCTTTTAAAATGTAAAAAGTCTAATAGCTGACCTGTTTTTAATGTATATGGCACGAAATATTCAGAGAGGAGAGACACATTTACGCCATTCGGGTGTCCAAAGTTAGTCACGTCCAAAAATATGTTAAAGAAATTGAACTTAGACACGCGTATTTAGGTGCTAAATCAAGTGATTATTTTATACCTTTGTAAAAATCCGTCCACAATATTGTTTTTTTTCAAATTGGTTGTTCGTATAATTTTAAAGACATAAAAACAGGAAGGGTTTCAGTCAGTACTTAATACCAGAATATAGCGCGTGTGAAGATAACGAACAGTAATGAAGCTCAAAAGTCCCCTGAAATAATACAAATTTGGATAATAACAAACACGGATCCCTAAAAACAACAAAGGATCAGTGGAGTAAGCATCCCCTGTCGACCGGTCACACTAGCCGTGTGCTCCTTATCATGATCGGACAATTGCAAACAGAAATATAATATCTTTTGGATATAATAATAAATTGGCAAAATATGAACATATCAAGCTAAAGTTTCCAACTGTTGTTTTTTGTTTCGTATAGATTTTAAAAGCACGACTTACATAGTAAAAATTTTTTAAAAATCAGTCCACTAACTTTTTGATAACCCCACGTATATGTTTCTTCTTTTTTTCAATTTACTGCAAGCTCTAAAAATTCGAAATTAAAGTTAAAAGTCGGTTATATCCTGATTATAATGAAGATGGCTTAAGTTTGCATGAAACATGACAATTTTTGTAGAGATTTCCCATAACACAACTTAAATTCTTAAATTGGTAGGATTTCTGCGACTTGTGCAACGATGTAATAAAGTTGTCAAGTATTTGGTGATGAGTTTTGAAACTTATCTCTTATCATCTCACTTTGCATAATTATGACATTTATTTATTTGCAAAAATGATTTTATAAAATACAATAAAATACAATATATATATATATATATATATATATATATATATATATATATATATATATATATATATATATATATATATATATATATATATATATATATATATATATATATAAATAATAAAATCATAAATGAAAGAATGTGACTTTAATTTGTTAGTTTTCTCCACATTTAATATATTTCTGTGTAGAGGTTTCACTTACCCAGTCGCTTCATTTATAGGAATAATTTCGTTCCAGACGAAGGTGTCCGGATTGACGAGGCGCCACAGTAGTTTATATACTATTGCTTATTTTGTAGCTCCAAAAGATTGTCTTGAATATTATGAGAAATATGGAAATAGATCAGACGGATTGTATTACATTAATCCACGACAAAATTCCTACATAGAGAATATCGAGGTGTTTTGTAAAATGACGGAGAATGTTACTGGATTTGTTGGAGGATGGATGGTAAGATTATATAATAATCAAAAGTTATTTAACTATACATCGGTTGCTGATTTATCTAAAATTACAGAATCCATACTTTAAGCTCAAAGGACCATTTTCTCTTACTACTCAGTTTGACTTCCCTAACAAGTTTCAAAAGATATATTATCAATAAATAAATAAATAACCTTGGAGAATTTTGATTAAGACTCTTCTCGCCGGAAAGAAAATTAAAATGCAACAGGAACCGATTCTCATGTTTCCAAAATCGATCCCAAACTCCGTCGAGCTCTTGGTGCCCCATTTCCTATACAAAGTTCGTCTCATACCACGGAATGGCATGTGCTAATCCCCAGCAGAGAGCAAATTTAAAAATGAGTGGATTTAAAAATTCATTTTCAGTGTTTAAATATTGCTGTGAATAAAAAGAATTGTTTAATTTTCATCCTCCATAAAAAGATTAAGCTATGTTTTTTAGAAACAGATTTTTAACCACTCAAAATCGAGAAACATATTCCACCAGAGGTATAAGCACATACCATTCGTGGTGTGAGACGAATTTTCCAGTAGACGAACAGAGTTTTGACGCTGTTTACGGACATAATAGAAAATAAAGACAATCATGTCATTAATGGTTGTGTAGATAAATTATTGTAGAAGACAATGGTAATAAACAGTTTGCCAGTACATTTCTTCTGAAAGTGTAAACGATTGCAATTCTGGGAGGGGTAATCTATGTAATTCGATAGTTACCTTGTGTTATTATTATAGATGCGTGTACTTGTTGGGAGACACTGAGGTGGCCTATACAGTAATAAGATAAACCCATCTTACGATTTACAGACCTTTATTTCTCTCGAGATCGGACAGTATCAAGGACAGCTCCCAATTCCAAACTCCCCGAATTTTAACAAAATTTTATATTGAAAGATATTACAGTGAGCAACAGATTTCATTGGATATTCCTTTTACATGTAGAGCTAAAGATTACATTTTTAAATAAAAAATAATTAAATCATTCAAAACACAGTCCATCTGGTCATATTACTCATGGCTGATTAATATATATAATAAAATATTTCGTAATAGTAAGATCCGGTAGATTGAAATGTTTATCAAACTATTTGAAAAATTACCGATAAGTAGAATTTGATAGTGAAAATGTTCAAAATATTCATGAAAACGTCAAATTGTAAATTTTCATCTGTAACAATTTTAATTATAAGTATGCTTATCATATTTTTCAAAAGAATATTCCAGACGTAAACATGGAATCATCACGTAACGAAACGTGGGCTTTTTTCAATACCGCCAGATGGAATGAATGGATTGGTATGTCCAGTATTTTAGTTAATTTTCTTAGATATCTTTATGCTGGTAATCGACAATAACTCGCAACAGAGCTTGTCTAATAAAAATATGAAATCAGCCATTTTAATTCTTTGAATGTTTTAATCGAGGAAAGGAACATCATGATGGTAGATCTCGACAAGACATTTTACACTATACAAATATTAATGAAATATGTGAAACAAAATAAAGCTTGTTGATGAAACAATTCGTATTTTTAAATGTTTTAGACATATCTTTAAAATGTAATACTACTTAAAAAAGTAATGTGTATTTTTTTTTTTTAGGGAATTTTAATTTACACGCTTTGACGTCTGAGAAGTCAATGCTGAAAATCAATTGCACACATGAAGATCACTTTAACATTTCAATCATTGGACTCAAGGTTGAAAGTTATGCTCAGAAATATGCCTTACAGTTGGATGGAGATGGTAATCACCTCTGTTTTCAAATCAGTTGTTTGTTGTTAAATAAAACACTAGGCCCAGTGAGGTTTCTAAAATTTTTATTGGAAAAATATCACTATCACATAAACAAGCGTACATTTAACTCGCCTCAACTTACTGTATCTCCACAGTATACTCGTATCAGGCCAGAATAAATATCGGTATGGTTAATAAATATCTTAAATTGCTCTGGGCACAGCTATCACAAATTATTTTTATCAGACTTTTGATCATGATCGCTGTTTATTATCTTCACATTTCATTATAGGTATTTGTGTGTGTGTGTGTGTGTGGGGTGGGGGGGGGTATCTATACTCAATTTCAGAGTTTCAGAGTTCAGACGAAAAAGACACTTTTTATTTAGATTATAAAATCTAGATTCACATCTTGTACATCCATAAATAAGCGACGACTCACTGGGTGGTGCTTATAGTCTCTTACTAAATTTGTTTTTTGTGTGTTTGTGTGTGTACATAAAAGGAGAGAGAGAGACAGAGCACAGTCTCCCTCGATTTGGCCAACGTCGTAGGGACTCCTCCAGGTAGTCACCAATTAGTCCTAAATTGTCTCCAGTAGAGCAATTGTTGGACGAAAAGGGCTTCGAATTTGACTCAAGCTCTTATGGGGGAATGAAATCCCATCCCTACTCGCGCAATCAACCATCTGGTCAATTCCGTACTCAAAATGATACCGGCTACTGTAAATGTGATATGATGACATACGCGATGTTGATTTTCGAAATTTTGAATTTAATAGTTCATACCCCTTCTCCCCTTCTCCCTACAATCAATAATGGCGGTTGTAAAATGCCGTTGCCTTAAAATTGATTTATGATAAGTATGAATACAATTGTATAGACTTGTATTTAGATATCATTGTTTCGCAGAGTAATAAATGCTTACCTTATATATTTAAGGATGCATTTCTTTCTCCTTTCAGTATAACACTAAGTGGTCACTTTTCCTTTCAGTATAACATTGAGTGGTTACCTATATAATAGTCAACTGCAAGATTTCACAGTAGCAGTGTTCAACAGTGAACACGTCTTTTTTTCATTTAAGTTATAAGTAGACAACACATGGAATTTGCAAAATATTAGCATTGGATTAATAGTCCATTTACCTGAAATCAGTGAAAAGCAGTCAATTGACCACTGTATGAAAAACAGTTGACAGCTCTTCAGAAAAGCATTCAAACTCAGTGATCAACTAATACAGAGTATTCAGTTGACGACTAGTTGACTGCTAGTTTACGACTAGTTGACGGTCAACTAAACAATACATGTATCGTTAGGGAAGTCATTACAATGATTTATTCTAAAAATTGATTGATTGATTGATTGTATGTTGTTTAACGTCCCATTCGAGAATTTTTCACTCATATAGAGACGTCACCATATACCGGTGAAGGGCTTCAAATTTTGACCTTTACTCGGCACTCAGGGCCATTGAGCAGTGAGGGATCTTTAACGTGACAACGTCTGCCGTGACACGGGGCCTCGGTTTTTAAGGTCTCATCCGAAGGACCCGCAACTTTCACTTCAATGTGCCGAGTGCATGGCGAAGGAACAGTTGCTACCCTTTCGAACTCACGACCTCCCGATCACGGAGCAAGCGCTCTACCGACTGAGCTACCGTGAACGGTCTTTCTATAAATTGAAAATTACAATCATCGATTAATATATATAAGCTAAATATCTTTTATATTTATTGCACATAAGTGTACACGTATATATGTAAGTTTTTATTTTTTAATTTTTAATTTATCATTTATTAAAGAAAAAAGGTGTGTAAAATAGTGTAACTGCTAGCAATTGTAATAAGTACAAGCACATACACAATGAAACTTCAGCATTCAAAGATAACTAGATTTTCTATTTTGTGTAATATTGAGCATTCAATGAATTCTGTCTTGTAGATGAGTATTGTGGATTGAGGACTGGGATGAAATTTTCTACCTGGGACAATGATAACGACGATGAAGACGACAGGAACTGTGCCTCAGAGAAAGGAAGAGGGTGGTGGTATGGCGGCTGTGACGAGGGCGTCTCTATCAATTCGATGTTAATTCGGCGAGTGTCAGAAACAAACACTACAATGAACTAGTATTTATCAAATATATGTGAGTCTTTTTTCTTTCTGACAAATACGATATTATATTAAAAGCGGAAAGAAAAGAATTTATTGATTGAATGTTAATGTTTCATTTGTTCGGATTTTTTTCAAGCTTGTTCAAGTCAAAGCTGTGTTTTATACATTGAAATACTGGTATATTTTGCCTCTTTAATGCTTTTTTAACTTCAAATGTATTTTACTCAGGCTCTGTCGACGCAGTCCTTGTATTGTCTGACAAAACAGAAAAAGGAAAACTTAGTTTCATGCCGCCGATGTGTTACATCAGACTTAAATGTACAGAGCTGGGCTAGATATAAACAAGTTATTAAACTGTTTTCCTGAAACACTCATTGATTTTTCAATTTTACTGTGCTGAATAATTTTTTAGAATCTATTGAGTACAGGAAATTTAATATCATCCCCAAGAGAATATTTTTGATAATGTGAATTCATACATGTACTAAGTGACAGTTAATTGCAGCAGAGTCCTCAATAAGTAATGTGTCGCTGTAGATAGCTTCCATACAAATATAAACTATTGTGTAGAGCTAGTTTAAGAAAAGAAGTTTTTTTAGAAGGCGCAAAGTCCCTGCATTTTTCACTTTTTAAAATTCTTTCCAGGTATTATGACCATTTTCTTTAAAATTATACTTTCATTTTGTTGCAAACTGTATCACGTTCAGTAAAGGAGTTTCCCGCATGATTTTAGAGTTACTTTTCTTAATGTAGAAATGTTTTGCTTTTTTATGACAACCATATTGGCGTCCTGTACATATTGTCGTCGACAAAAATAAGCACCTATTCTCACTGCGTATACCAGCTGTGTACGTGTACACATTGACTCCCACCCTCACTGCCCATATACTGTCACTCAACAGTTATAGTACACTCAGCTAGTAACTTAAGGATATTTTGCTACATGTATCGACTTTGGCCAATCACAGTTGATTCCTGATGAGGCATTGTGACGATACATTTTGTCGCCGGCGACAATATGTACCTACTCGTTAATTAAGCTCAACAGTCCGAGTTTTTTTTTTTTTTTAAATACTCGTATATATATTAAAACGCCAAAGTTTACATTTAAAAAGTATTCGAATTGGATATATATATATATATATATATATATATATATATATATATATATATATATATATATATATATATATATATATATATATATATATATATATATGTGTGTGTGTGTGTGTGTGTGTGTGTGTGTGTTCAGTTTTATATCGTAGGAAAATCATTGTATTTCACTGAAAGACAAATCAGCGTTTTAAAACACAATTTTCTCTCGATCTATCAAAGCACCTGAAATGAAATGCTATGTTTAATATACAAGTTGCTCTATGAATTGGGAGAGTGATGATACAAATATCTCGGGTTCCCTCTAGTTCTGTCCGATTGCAGTAAAACGTTCTCCAAAACCACGGTTTTTGGTGACAAAATTCAAATTTTCGCCGGATATATTGTTGTCGATCTGTAAGATAAATCTAAATGGGAAAAATGCTCGTCACCTCACCTATTGTTGTTGCATGGTGTCAATATGTACCGTGGGCACCAGTTATGCAGTGTTTTGTTTGTTTGTATATTGTTTAACGTCCCTCTCGAGAATTTTTCACTCGTGGAGACGCCACCACTTGCCGGTGGAGAGCTGCAAATTTTGACCTATACTCAGCACTTACGGCCATTGAGCAGTGAGGGATCTTTATCGTGCCAGCACCTACTGCGACACAGGACCTCGGTTTATACGGTCTCATCCAAAGGACCGGTCTCCACGTCCTAGAGTGGGATTTGAACCCGCGGCGTAAGGATAAACTCCTTACTCCGCGACTCTAGATCAGATGCCCTAACCACTGCGCCACGCGGGCGACCAGTATGTGCAGTGAGGATAGGTTCATATTGTCGGCGGCGACAATAGAACAGGGCGACAAAATGTACCATTACAAACCTCTTTTATTCATACAAATTTTAGTGAAAATATGATAATTTTATTTGTCTTGGGAAAAACACTTTTAAATGATTTAAACAATTAATTTTAGATCTAGCAACTGCTTTTTTGTATTTGACCACGGAATGTACATGTACAGTATATTGTCTACAACTTTTTGATTCTAAAAGAAATTCATGGAAAGTAGCAATTTTTGTATGAATATCTGGAGTTTTTTTGTAATTACATCGTATTATTTTTATTATCTTCGTAGCACAAACCCCGGTAGCTTTATTTTTATGTTTCTGCTGTTTGGCAATTAATGCGTTAAATTTTTGCTACAACCAAAACAACCAAGCTCCTTAATAATGCATTCTGGTACATGAAGTGTTGTTTATTTGTTTTTCAAATTACCTAGTTTTTTTCCTTAAATGTTTATTCTAGTTTTAATGTCTTCTGATTGTAATATTCGATCTTATGATTGTTGCATGCTTAAAATTTTCACTTAAAAGACTACTTTGTATTGACATTATATGCATTCTATTAGTCTGTAACAGTGGTTCATGTATATGTATTTTTTATATGATTGTTTTGTTTATTAGGGAAATAAATAGGCATTCTTGTTACTCTGATATATTTTATGTCGATAAAAAGAATTATCTATCTATCCATCTATCTATCTATCTATCTATCTATCTATCTATCTGTCTGTCTGTCTGTCTGTCTGTCTGTCTGTCTGTCCGTCCATCCATCCATCTATCTATTTATCTATCTACCTATCTTTCTATCTATCCGATCGATCGTTACAAATTATTTCCAGACCCGACACGAACCTCTGAAAACAGAGAT